TTAAATTTTTATTTTTATTTAATTTAAATAAATATTTATTAAATAATAACAAAAATAAAAAGTGTCATTATTTTTGTCCCATACTGTATATTTAAAAAACAATTATAAAAAAAAATTTATTATTATTTGAAATTCTTATTCTTTTTTTTGTATTATATATATTGTATTATATTATATTTATAAATTATTTTTTAAACTATAAAATATTAAAAAATATTGAAAAATAATTATAACTGAAAAAATTTAAATGGTTATATATACTGTATATATTGCAAAAAAATTAATCAATTAGTGTATGATTTTAAATTTTTAAATTAAAAGTTTTTATAATACTGCAATTGTTAATATAATAATAACAAGACTTTTTAATATTAATTTATATATAACAAGCCATATATACTTGCCAAAAAATACATCAAGCAAATATGAAATACAATTAATTAGACACAAATATTATAATAGATATTAATTAATATATACATAAAAAAATATTTTTTATTAATATGACAGTTGAGATTAATAACAGTGAATTTTAAAAAATTTCTTATTTTTGATATCCTTGTAATTTGGTTATAAAATATCCAAGTGTCAATAAATAGTTTACATTACTTCTTTCCATCTGACTTTTCAATTAATTTTACCAATTTTTCACCAGTACTTTCGATATTTTTTTAGTTTATAAGTCTTCGAAACATTAGACATAAAAGCTTTTATAATGTTTTGACTGGTTGTTATATTTCTTGATGTGATAAAATTTGTACCCGCATTATTTTCATACACAGGTGCCATGATCAAATATACTGTAAGTGAAATATACCAAAACCAGAATTTTTTTGTTTCATGAAAACCTTTGTAAGTTACACAGTTGCAATCCAATTAAAATTTTTTTTATACAAATAGTGAAATCATGTGATACGTGTTACATGGATAGTCAACATTTTTTCGAACTTTAGTCGGTTGAGAAAAAAAAACATCAACATAAAGTTCTATTACAATTGTAGGATGACAGTGTACATGATGCAAAAAAAATTCAATTACTTACTAAGTTTTCACTTTTTACTGTATATGATAACTTAAAAAAGTTGAAAAAAACTGGATCTAATGAGCATTCGGGCAGAAATGGCTGGCCAAGAAAAATTGACAAGGCTTTTTCAAAGGTACTAGGACAATATATTCGTAGGGACACTTCTTTATCAACAAAAGATCTTGTGGCTAAACTGCTAGAAAGAGGTATACAGGTATCACGTTATACTATTGGAAGGTATTTGAAGAAGATTGGATATACAAAAAGTCTTCCACGGGCTACTCCTATACTCACTGAAAAGCAAAAAAAAAACCAGGTATTGTGAGCATGAAATCACCTTGACAACACATAGGAACAAACATTTTTTTTCTGACAAAACAGAATTTGAACTCTATCAAAATACTGTGAGACGTTGGCACAAGGGTGCATAACCAATTCGTTATATGCCAAAAAGCCGGGTAAAGATTCTCACTTGGGAGAATTCTGTATAAAGGAAAAATCAACTTTATTTCTTTTTCAACAGATCATGGATGCAAGTTTTTACGTGAAAATTCTTTGCAAACATGTTTCAGAGATCAAAAGGATACTTGATGACGAGTGGTGCTTTTAGCATGATAATGACCCAAAGCACACGAGTCATCTGGCAAAGACTTTTATCAAAGAAAATATGCCAGCTGTTATAGACTGGCCATCTAATAGCCCCGACTTGAATCCGATCAAAAATTTATGAAACATTGTCAAGAACAACATGGAGAAACATATGCTGAAAAATTTAGATGATTTAGAATGGTATATGGGCGAGGAGTGGAAAAAAATAAAAAAATCTGTTCTAATTGGATTGGTTCAGTCGATAAGGAGACGTTGTGAGATGATTATAGAAAACAACGGAGATCGTATAGCTTACTAAATTTTTTTAATTAAAAATATCAATCATAAACTTTAGTTAGTCGAAGTTTCAATAAAAAAAAATAAATTCCGGTTTTTTTTGATCAGCACTGTATATTTATTTCACGTATTGTACTAAATGACATAAAGACTGTCACATAAAAAAAGAAAAATAACTTATCACGTTAAATGTTGAAGTGTACATGAAGAAGTTGCTATTTTATTGCTTCTTGAATAAATTTATTCGATCATTAAAGTAAATATATAATGATACAATAGCATGACATAAGTAACAGTAACGTAGAAAATAAATACCTTTCATATTGCTTGATTGTTGTTTTATAATAAGCCGAAATGTATATTATACTACGTATCGTCATTAAATTTCGTCATCTTATTGTGCACAGATCTCCTTGGATAAGCCGAGATAGCGTACTGTCGCGGGTGTTCGCGCGAAAGTCACGTTAAGATCGAAAAAGGTGAGAGATTTGGCGAATTAATAGGTAATAATTATGTAATGATGGATGTCTCGTTGATTAGGTAAGCGAAAGGTTTTTTAATATTTGATCACGTCTCTAGCAATAAATTCTAACGCGGGTTAAGTAGAATTTTGTTTAAAAAATATACAAAAATTTTAAATTATCAAATTATTCAAATGATTAAAATATTCAAAATATGTAAGAATAGGTTTGTTTTTGTTTCCCTTGTACGCGATTAATTCCCTACAACAATATATTCGAGGTTCTATGTGTTTTAAGTTATAGTCGAGGGAATGTAACGATCGACGTTAGTGACAAAAAATGTAAATGGTAACTTATCCTCAACCTCGTTATTTCTTATTTCTTTTATTTCTTCTATTTTCCAAATATACACCTCTTTCTGCCTTAAGCTCCGGTTAAAACCTACCTTCGTGCGTTGCGAAGCCTGCGATCGCGAAACGATCGTTAAATAAATCCGGTCCCCAATATTGCTACAATATACATACATGTTTCGATGTGTGTGTAAGTCGTACGGTATTAGTTAAATCCGAGGTCCCTGATTCCGCCATACGAGGCTCTTTTGGTTCTAATTTGAGTCGGCTTCTACTTGACAAAAAGCAGAATTATGGATGGTTTATCTTAAGCTTGCTCAATAACGTATGCTAACCTTTTTTATAATACTTTATTGTTAATAGAATTGATATTAAAAAAGAAATATAAAATCAAGAGAGATACTATAGGATTATTAGAAGAACAGAGGTAAATTTATTGTTACAGGCTATTATTGCGAGAAAGTAACGAGTGTCGTGAAAGCAAAACTTTATAACGCGCTTAAACCGGATCAATTGCTTCTGGAGCGAAAAGAATCACATGAACACACGAAAATAGAGATTAAATACTTTAATATAAGTATAGAGATTAATATATTTAATAACAACTAGAAAAATCTATGTGATGATAAAATCACTGCAGTTTACAAAATAAATGTATAATCTAATATAACAAGAAAATTTTACCCGAAATAAATTGTTCGATTTGAAATCGAACGATCGGACCGGGTAAAGGCGAGTGTTGCGAAAATGCAATAACTTTATTTGAGAATCAACAGGCCCTTGTTACATCCATATTGTGCGATCATTTATACAATAAATTGAAGTAATCATAAAAAATAATATGATCATCTTTTTCTATTATAACGATAATAAAATCACAATATGTTCAATAAACGAAAATAATTCGAAATACAAAATAGTTCTATAATATGAAAAAATTACCATAATAAATTATTGATTATTTTAACCTTTTCTTTAGTTTCAATGATGCATTTGGATACAATTGCACCTAATACAGTACTGTATAATAGACTGGATTGAGTAAACAATAGTCACGGCCGTGATCGTCATAATATCATAATGTAATTCAATACGCGCGAGCAATAAAATTTACTTACACAATTATCAAATATTAAGTAATTAATCATTTGAAATGTTTTGAATTACACTATTAGACGTTATAGGACTGAATGAAGTGACTGACAAGTCGATGAATGGATGGAGTAAAACTTGTGCTATGTGAGGTTGAATTGTATGAAACCTGCGTTACGCGAGATTTTGATTGTGTGATCATATGTTTCGCGAAACCGGATTGTGCGAAACCTGAGTTGCACGAAATCCTTACATGAATTTGAGTTGGGAATGGAACCCCGAGTCCTGCGGACTGTCGGAAAATAAGTTTAATTTTACTTATCATCTTTAATTAAAATTAGCTTTTTTTCATTTTATTATACCGTGTATATTAGTAGACCTTGTGTCATTATTACGTGAATCGTACTTCATGTGAAACACGAGACTGTAAAACTTATTTGGAAACAAAGTCACTTTTAAATTCTAATGTGAAAATATCACCACGGTTTGGGTACATATATAAAGAGATTTTTTTGAAAAATTTTTTTTGCGAATTTTAAACTTTACCGCTATGCAAATACGTGACAACTTGGGACCACTTGGTCAAAATAATAATTCTGGTGAGTCATGTATTCGCTCACTGTTCTCGTGAATAACACTAAATGTTTAAATGTCCTCTTCTAATTCTAATAAATTTCGCGTGACATTTATTATTAATATAGAAGATCAAGGTGAATTGTTGCAACTTACCGTTGATTCTACACAAGGAAATTCGAGCATTTCGCCTGTTGCGAGTGATCCATCAGATCATCATCCATCATTGCCAGACAATCCTCATGTTTCTCCAAGTCAAGAAAGTACTATTTATCAGCAAATTCCGAGTCAAATCGTGAATATCGATGCACCATCTCATTCTTCCAGTGACAAGTTATTGGCGGATCTCACCAGAGAAGATGAGACTTTGAATTCTCAGAAGCAGATTGCACTCGAAAATAATCCTTACTCTGACGAAAATGGTTCCTCTTACAAGTATGAAAATTTTTCCGAGGCGACATCTAATCCTAGCCAACTTAGTAGTGACTTGGATATTTTTGCCGAGGATGACGTGAGTGAAAGACATCATATGAATGCAAACAATTTTTCAGAAGAAATTGAAGACAAAGAGGACAACTCGGAGCAATTTCTAGATGATTTTTTGGAAGTACCAAAAGTCGTTACTATTGATTCTCGCGAGATTATTAGCAATAAAGGGCGTTGTGATGAAAATAAAAGTGGTTTCGAGAGGTCAAAGAACGATCCTAAAAGGCATATTGCTGCGGCCATTCTTGATCATAGAAGTAAGCTCATTACTCCAGATACCAGTTTCAAATATGGAGAAGACCTCGCCGAATACATACCTGGATTTTATCGCTTGTTAGACTTACGCAAAGATGATGGATCTAATGGACTGGGTAATGTGTGACTATTTGGTTATGGTTTACAGTAATAAAAAATAGGTTGTATAATCTTACCATTACCATTTCAAATTTAGTCGATAAAATTATCATCTCGAAAGATTCTTTAAAAAAACTTTGTAATGATATGATTCCTTATAGCTTCAGTTCAATCTCAGAAATCGATTACAACCGCCTGAATGCGCTTTCATTCCGTCTTATTGGGTGTTACGGTAATCACCTGATGATCGCCAAGCTCTTGTTGAACAAAAACGTGATCAATGAACAGCTGTATGTGGATTTTTCGCGATTCAATAATTAACTGTGTAAAAATTAACTGACGTTATTATTTCAGTTTTGATCTTCTAACCTCGGCAGAAAAAACTTATGAGAATAGAAACAAATCAAACCTCCGACCCGGAATTTATTTGTCTATTGTGAATCGGGATGTGGGACTAGTGATTCATTGGCCAGAGCAAGGATGCTACGAAGAAAATGCACCATCTCAACGTAAAAAAAACATGATTAATTTGCATAGGTAAAAAATTTTGAAATTGATGAACATAATATTTTTACGGTATATTGTGCCTTAATGACTTCGTTACTTAGATATCTTACAAAGCTGACCGACGAACAACTTTGTCTCATGAGCGATAAAGATCTGGAATATTTCGAGTGGAACACGGAGAATGATGAACAAGATTCTGATGATGAGGATGATAGCACTAATAATAGGTACTTCGAATTTGAGGTCAAGAAAAGTCAAGAGGAGCAAGAGGATTTCAAGTTAGCCAAAGGATTCGAGGTGATTCTTTATCCGATGATTACATACAATTTATCAAAAGGTACATTATTTATTTAATATATTTATTATTGTTTCTTTTCTTTCCAGGTCAGCTTACCGCATGATGCAAACGAGAATGCTATAGAAAACAAAAATAGAACACAATTAAGTCCAATGAGTAATTATATAATTTTTTATTTTACGCAAGCCCTGAAATAATCGAGACACATATTAACATTATACGTATGATGTCAAATTTAGTCGTAGAATCGGTTCATCACCAAGCATACATCACCCGCAGCATCATTACTTCCTCGGTTTCTATGACAAAATATACTTCTCATTATCATGGTCCTTTGCATTTCAAAAATGATCTAGGTAATAAACTTAAAGGAAGGTCTTTAAAGATTTATAGAACAATGGATATAAAAGGCCTGAAACTTCTCGTTAAAAATGGTCTGGGATTGGAAAATGAGCTTCTCGGTCCTTTGGATTCTGCCATCGAAAAAGCAAAAATGCTGATAGATTCAAAACAAGAGCTTGAAATGAAGAACATAAAAAAGGACGCCGAGTTAGTCGGAGAGATTGCAAGAAAAATGTTACAAAAATATTATCCGTAAGTTTGGACCCATTTTGAATTTTTTATTAAAAGATTTAACCTCATTCCATTGTATTATTAATGTACTATTCTTGATTGCTTAATAGGGAATTCGAAGAAAAATTAAAGGCGAATGATTCCTCAAGCTCACTGGAAGTAGATGAGTTGCGTAAGTTATCTTACATACTATTTGAAATTCATCAATTTTAAATATATAATTAAACCAATTCATTTTATTTAAATAGTGAAGCAACTCGATGAGAAATATCAAGGAATCTCAATTAAAATTAATAATGCAATGCACATCAGTTCTGAGTCTTGGAAAAAGCTGAAAATTCGATATTTCCTTACAGCACTGATAATCAAAAAGGTGTTTTCATCTAAGAAGAATGAAAACTTGAAGGAGTTCAAGGGGCCTGCGCTTGAAGCTTTCTACGGGATGCTTGTCGATAAAGAGGATGATCCTCACTCATTAGTAAAAAAGTACACTGAAAAAGCAACACAGTCTGGATTTTTTGGCTATCTATTTCAATTCGTGAAAGATACAATAAAATGGGATTATAGCGAGGTCAATTTATTATATAACAATGCAATAACTTACGCCAACGGCAAAGAGGATCACGAGTTCATCAAAACAATTCGACAGACGAGTTCCTTTGACGCATCTAATGATATTAGACAAAAAATTATTGACGAGTTCTTTGAGGAATATCAAAAGTGGAGAAAAAATATGTTCGATAGTAATGTTAAAAGGATTGCTCCAAAGTATTCTGATAAAATCACGGAATTAAAAAAAAAATATGATGAAGAGTTTTTGATGGAAAGTAGAAAGATCGAAGAACAGGAATTTGAAAGGATTTGCCTAGAAATCGAGAAAAGATTTGCAACAGGGTATGTTTCATAGTCTATAAATAAAACATGCATAGATGAGCTTGTGATTTTTTTAAACTTTATCTGAAATCAATACCAATAGACGTATATTCCGAATAATTGATGTGACAGGTATTAGCAAATTTTTTATCATTAACAACTCAAGTTCTAATATAAAAAAATATACCATGATACTTTAGAGGGTGTATACTCAAGCGGGTTCCGAGTAACGTATGAATTGGAGACAACAAAGCCTGATCAGCTACGGATCACTATTTATGAAACATCATGGGACCAGTCGGACAACTTTCGATTACAGGAAGACGAATATCACGTTCCCAAGCCTACATTATCTGATTCTCGTGGGAACGCTGGGATTTCTTTTTATGTTGATCCTGAGATATATGACTTTAGGTAATCATCCCTTCGTTCGTAATCTGTTTTCCACGTGGTTCCATAATAACGAATGATTCCATGCGATGTTCCATAGGAAAATAGCTCGTTTTGAGGATGAAAAATATTTTGTTATTCTATGGAATAAAAAGGAAAATAAAACAGAAATATTCTTCGATAAGGCCCCAAAACTCGCCACGTCTATTCAACCATGTTCAAAAAAATGCCTTATAACGCTCCGTACCGAAGAATTTTGTCTGTTTGCAGTTAATGAATCAAAAGGATTACTTGGCATTTTTAACACGGAGACTGGTGTGGTATGAATTGATGATGTTTAAAAATCGGAAATTACTTTCACCTTGGGATTTCACATTCATGTTTATTTTTTTACACCCAGCTGGATGTTTTTGCATTCGATGAAGAACGAAAAAATATCTTTCATCGTAACAACAAAGTTCAAATTTTGCAGTGGTATAATAATGTGGTTCCCGATATCCAGCATTTCTTTTTCATCAAAGATACCGAGGAAATATGTTTTGTTGAGGTGGGAGGACGAGCTAGACTATATAACCTCGTAAATGGGCAATTTCGACCTAGCGAAGGGAAAATTCCGGAAAATGCTAGCACAGTTTTAAGTACTCCCGATGGAGCCTGTATTGTGGCGTTTGTCCGGGAAAGCATGAGAGAAGTTGACCACCACACTTTAAGTGATAGCATCGATAACGATTTGAGTAGTGATGCCGACGGTGACTCAATTCCCGAGAAAAGTGTTAAAGAAATAGAAGTATGTCGTGCGCATGTTTATTTCTGCTCGAATTTCGGACAACCGGCGAGTAAAAGTAAGCGTTGTATATGTCGTGTCAAATAAGCGTTATTTAGGAATTGTCAATTTATCCGTTTTCTATTTTGATAGTTATTGAATTGCCTTCCGACCTGAATCTCGAATGTCTACAATTTTCACAATTGTGCAAGCGTCAGATGCACTTGATGTCGCTTGACCTGGAAAAACGTATGTTCCATTCATTAATAGTTAAGATTACAATAGAAAAGACACAATATAGATTTCAACAAAGGTCGCAAAGAAAACCTCTTGGTCAAGTTAAACTCGCATCTCCCACGCGGAATAAAGACTATTCGATCATCCAAGGAAACCGCACGCACTTTGAGCGGGATGTGGATGTTGGAGAGAACATTATTTTATTAGGAGAAAGATATCGCGTCGTAGAAATTCTTTCTGACACGATGCTAAAGATTTCCGGTAGTTTTCGACCTGGCTCAGGGTATGAATGGGTAGATTTTCGTATCGAACCCAAGACTAAGCTTAACGGATACATTGATGCATACAAGTTGATGTTCGAGAAATATCCTATTGATGGATGCATAGATTCCGAGCAAACCAAGCCGTTGAGTTTGAGAGTTCTTCTGGATGTATCGGATGATGATGAAATAGACGATTATCAGGATAAATTTGAGGAATATATAAACGATATGTTTGAAGAGGTAAAGCGGACCACACGAAAACCAGCATCAATGCTCAAAAAATTTGTAACAGGTAAATAAACTATATATAAAGAAATTATTAAATTGAACTGAGGTAACGCTCGACATAATCACTTTTTTCATTTTGATAATTTTAGCCGTCGAATTATTCCGTAATTTTGATATCGAAGATTTCAAGTCCCTAAGAAAGAACTCGTCTGAATTTCAATTCGGAGAGTGGATTATTCAACTTTCGTGTCTTATCCCCATTCAGATTGCAGTCGCACGAAACAACCAGTTTCATCCTCTCCATGATGGCCTGTCATCAACCGAACTAGATCATTTTGACGGTTCTGAGGATTACGGTCATCACGTGGACAGTATCGCGCAGAGTATCTCGTTTGGGTGGTATGAAGGAATATTTAAATTTTTTGGGAATCGAAAGGTTAAAGTTGTGTCGAGCATGGGAGAACAGTCATGCGGAAAATCATATATGGTAATTGAGCCTCTCTCATTAATGTGAAGGTTTCTTTTTTTATAACCTAAAAGATTTATCATTTTTATTTTTTATAGTTAAATCACCTCGTCGGAACTACTTTCGATGGTTCTGCTATGGTATGTTTGTCAACAGATTTTGCATCGTGTTTTTGATATCAGGACAATGTTTTAAAGTTTAATTAATTATTAATCAGCGTTGTACCGAAGGCGTATGGATGTCATTGGGTAAAGCATTTTTTTTTTTCAAAATTTTTCGAATACGTATGAATGTTAATACATTATTTTTCGAGAACAGCGATTACAAAAAGCTGCCTATATGTGGCATTGGATTTTGAGGGATTGAGATCGATGGAACGATCACCACAAGAAGATTTGTTCTTGACTTTACTTAACACGGTGGTGTCAAATCTAATTCTTTTTAAAGTTCGTACGATCCAAATTTTAACAAGCACCTTGACATAATGAAACGAAAATGCTAATTAATTTTTTGACCCATTAAAGAATCAATTTTCTGTGAATCGTGACTTGTCCTCAATGTTTCAACGGTTTCAAGATGGTGCACTATTGTTAAATGATCAAAAGCTATTCCAAGTAAGTAAGCGTCGTACCTAATTAATGAAACCCCAAGAAATATAAATACTAAGATTCACACTCGCTTTATTAGGCTAAACTTTGGTATGAAAGCTCGATCTATCTTATGTGCTTGATTTTTGATTTTTAAATATTTACCTAGTGATAATATACGGTAATATTCGGCAGCATTATAATCAAGGATGTTCCACCGAACGACAAGGAGGACATTGTTAGAGAATTTACACTGAGATTTAATTCTCTGGTTGCCGAGGTTAGAAGCTAATATTGCCAAATTATATTTCATGAATATCTTAATAGCGATGATTTGATTTTTTAGGAAGGAGAAGATAACTTTATATCGAAAATGTATCCGAGTGGATTGACAATACTTCCATGGGCATTATTTTCTGACCCCGGTTCATACTCTTTGAAAACAATATTAAATATTCGTTTCCCATTATGAATGTGAATGTCTTACCCTTTGAAACTTTGAACCGTATTTTATTTATAGGATGGTATGAGCATATCTACGTACTATATTTGTATTGATACAGAACGTATTCTATTTTTGACAAGCTTTTTTTCAATAGGTACAGAAATCTGAAGGATGTGAAAAAGATGTTAGACAAACAGGAAGCCCGTTATGAAAACGCTCGTACATTTTTGCAAAACATCAAGGTCATCATGGCCAAGTTGAGAGTAAGTTTTGTTTATCTTATTTTTTTTTTTAAAAAAAAAAAAAATTCATAATTCAACTACCATGCACGATACTGAATTCTATTATGATCTAAACATAATAACTTAGATCTGCGATTGGAGTTCTTTGGATGAAAACTTGGTGCAGATACGTATCTCAATGCTTAGGAGAGTTCTCCAAACAGCAGTGTCTCTGGGAATAGAGCAAAAAGAACCAGTAAAAGAACCATTGATGGTTGGTACCAAATAGTTAAACTTTCAAGCGTTTGTAACGATACGTGACATTAAACTTTATTGAACTTTACACTAGAATCGAGATACAGGCCTCGAAATCGAAGACATCACACCCAAGATATCCGAAATTTTTGAAGGTTATAATGGATCTGCCACACTTCCTGCTGATTCAGATATGCTACTTTTTGAGGAAAATCCCGACTTTCTTCGCCTTTCCAGAGATTTGAGGGCATACTTTGAAGAACACATTCAATCTCGCGAGGATGTCACTGAAGATTCTGAATGGTTTGCAATTTTAGAAAGATACTTCAAATATATAATTGAAAGAAGAATCTTTCGCGTGCAAGAATGGTTTTCGCAAAACACCATCAAGTTCCCACAGGATAATAGTGATGTTGTTATTGGAGGTTATGCATTGGAACAGGAAATTGGGTCTGTTTTTTTAGTCATAATCGATTATCAAAAAGTAACCATTGGCTAAAATATTTCATTTCTCGCCATTCAGAAAACTTTCGCTTTTCTGGACATTATGCGGGCTCACTTGCCACGAGTGTAACTTAAAATGCTTGAAAAATCGAGATCATGCCGATGGTCAACACGATTGCTTAACCGACCACGAGTGTCATGCCTCATGTCAATTTTCGGATGCTCACAAAGACTCTATTCCACAATGTAGTCATAAGGCTGCGCACTCTGGAAAACATGCGTGCGATAAAGTAACGTTTATTTTGTAGAGCCGTATAATTTTTCATATTTTGATAAGAACTATACTAGATTGTTATTTTGTTATTTAACGATAGGTCAGTCATTTGTGTGGACAGAATTGCAGCCTCTATGACAAACGGAACTGCCAAAAAAAATGCTCGAAAGAGATTGGCCATGAAGACGGCGTTCACCTGTGTCAATCACTCAGTATGTTGGATCATTTGCATAATGTTGGTTTTATTGGATATTGAATGGAACCTTACACGCTAATTTATAGGACATTATTGTGGAGCAACTTGTTCTTTGTCGACCTACACTCAAAAAGGACATTATCAATGTCCAAACAAATGCATTATTCCATGCGAAGATGATCATGAGATTCACCGTATGTATATTAGTTATATCTGCTGTGGACTACCTGATTCTTGTTTCTAAAATATTTGGCGTATAGGTTGTGAGAATGAAATGTGCCCAATACCTTGCCCAATTCCCGAATGTCAAAGAAGATGTCAATCTGACGATCACTTCCACTCATTATCAGATCTTCATGTAGATCATTTCTGCGGGTAAGAAATTAAAAGTTATGCGAAAGCGATTGTAGAAATGTATTAATGAGCTCATAAATTATAGAAATGAACACCAATGTCAAGAACAATGCGAACATTCTGGTGTATGCAAGGTGCTTACCGAGCCCAAAAAGAATGAACAAAAATACCAAGGATTGAGCGGAACATCATTTACTTTTATAAAGGTACTGTGATGCGTACTGTGCTTTTAAAAAATCTATTTTAATAGCTGCATGACCCATGATTTCTTTTAAAGTATACACAAGTCAGTGAAAAGTTGAAATGCAATAAGAAGATTCCATCAAACTCGTTCAAACACGAAGGGTTACATTGCCATAACGAGGACGGCGTTCATTTCTGCGATGCTCAGGTAAACTCTAGGAAAACACCACAATTGGAAAGCAACTCTTTTTCACAATTATTTTTACTTTATTTTACTTAGTGCCAATTTTGCGAATACTATGTGAGCTTTTTTTTTTAATCAAATGATTATAAGCAATTCACAATTCATAACTTTGTTTATGATAAATTGATAATCTCGTATTCTAGTGCACATTGCCATATGGTCACGTCCAAACTTTACATGAAACCAGTCATGGAAATATGATACAGACTGAGTTTTCCGCAGAAAACGATGAGTTTGAGTATAGTGGGCATAAGTTAAGAATAGGAGATCAGGGTACATTTGTTCTTTGCAATTTGGTATGTTTATCAGTCAAGTACGCACTGAAAATTCTATTGGACTATATTATATATAATGACAACAATTTATTTTATCTGTTAAAGCATTGCAAAGAACTGGGCCGTCATAGACATATTGATTATTGTCAAAATAAGGAAACCTGTAAATTAAATAATAGCCAGGCGTCAGATTTAAGGCATATTGATGGTAAATATTTATTTCGACTTCCCGCGACTATATACGCTGTGTAATAATATTTTTCCATCAACAGGTCGAATTCACCCGAACCCTGATGAGCCGAAAGATTTTCTTTCTCATCATCTTTTCTGGGAGCGTACGGGATTCAAAGGTACGTGTGATGAATCCAATGATTGCTTTGATAGCACAAAAAATAACTTTTCTTACGTACTTTGTAGACCCATACACTGCTCAGGAACAGCAAGAATTTTCTAAATGTGATCATGAATGCCCAGATGAAAAACACAAAAAATCATCCGGTCCTTCAAGTGCCACACCTTCAAAGTCTTATTGCGAATTAAAACTTTTCCATGCATCATTAGATCCTTCTTTACTACCTCCCAATGGTTGTGGATATGTTTCATTGGATGGACACCAATTCAATTGCGAAAACCCTGCTACAAGAGAAGCTGCATTTCACATCATTTTTGTCTTGGATCGATCTGGATCAATGTTCGACACCGACAAAAGACCTCTGCAGAATACTCCAATTTATAACAATTTGGTCCTTACACATAATAATCGACTCGGCGCAGTATATAACGCGGTATGATCTTAATCCATTTGCTATACAGTATATATTGTATTAGCGTTTTCTAAATTGTCAAGTTATTATGTTTCAGGTCTACTCTTTTTTGGACACTCGAATTTCATCATTCCGCTCAAGTGCACATAACTCTGCAGCAACTCCACGGGATTCTGTATCATTAATACTATTTGACCACGAAGCTTCTCTTGAGATTGAAAATTTACCTTTGGATGATCCTGACCAATTTTTGAATGTAATGCTTAAGTATTCGGCCAGAGGAGGCACAAACTTTGACCTAGCCATTCAAAAGGCGGGATTTGTCATTGACCGCCATTTTGATCCAACAAAGTACGCAACTAAGTTATGACCTTTGATCAACTAATTTTCGTAGTTAGATTTCAACGTGTTTCTCTAATCTTATTAGATGCCCTGTCATAATCTTCTGTTCTGACGGGGAATGTGGGATTCCGGAACATCGACTACGGCAAATATGCTTAAAAAATCAGCAGAGAGGGTAGATATTCCTAAAGTTACGATTTTGTTTATCAAGACGCTTGCAAATTAATGATTTAAACCTTTTCACGTAGGTTGCCAATTTATCTTTATACGGTTCTTTTCAGTAGTACATTATATAGTCCATCACTGGAAAAAATGGCTGAAATTGCAAAATCCTACCATCCGAAATCCTCGACATCGGGTGCGTTAAAATGTCAGTTTACCCGGGCTATTGATGAAGTTAGCTTGATCAATCATTTTACCGGAGTTGCCGAAAGCTTAAGAGAGCACAAACCGGCTTTACTTAAGAAAAATTCTATTTAGTTTGTTAAATTTAGATGGTTTTTTTCTTTGGTTAGGAATTTTCTCTGTCGAGATGCCTCACACTTTACAATTAGTTAAAATTTTCTTGCTTCTATTCTGCATGATCTATGTAGGCTCATATCTAGTAAATGCTTTGTATCAACGATGAGGAAATTTATTATGCACTGGATTTTAAAAAATTTTTAGTTTCAAGTTCTTGTCCGGAAATAAAAAATTCTACAACGCCGTACATTGAAATCGCAAGACGAAATGTTATATTATATATTCTGTTTTGGAAACAATTGTGAAGTACGCTCATTTTCTTGTATAAATCAAACAAATAATCGGATGACATGGTAGAACTTATTTTAAATTATTACATTCATAAAAGAATTAATTGTAATATTATCCAAATCCTTGTTGGTAGAGTAGCGATTGCCGTACGAACAGGGGTCAATGCATGTTTACAGGTGTGCTAGTCATAAGGAAAGACAAATATTCTCTTGACAGTAATTTATCTTTTTAGAGGTGGGTTTTTTCTTATTTGTGGGTCTCAACTAAAAAATTATTTGTTATCACAGAAGCTATAAATAATGAAAATAATAAAATAACAGTTTGAGAATCAATTTCCTTTTAGATAATCTTAATTTTATTTTATTTTCTTTTTTTTAGTAAAAGAGTAATTAATGCCTGAGGTAAAATCGTATATCATACATTTAAATTATTTGTACAGTAGGTATCAAAAGTAACACTTATTTTTTATCAAATCATAATTTATGCACATGTATTTTTATTTTATTTTTGTTATTTATTTGTATTTTTAATTTTTTTTTGAACTAATATTTTGTAGAGCCTCCTTTTGTATCCAATAATGTTTGGATTCTATATGGCATTTAATTAGTAACTATTCTCAAAAAGATGTATCAAATTTCAACCATGTCTTACTTAGAACTATTTTAAGCTTATTTATAGTTTGTAAAAAATCTTTTTATCTTTGAATTTTATCCTTTAATATTCTTCAAACATTTTCAATTAGATTAAAATCCTAAGAATTTGTTTTTTTTCAAACTATTTTATAATAATTTTTGTGATATGAATCAGGATATTATTTTGTTGAAACATTATATTTCAACTAATTAATAAATATATTACATTAAGAAATAATATAAACTTATCTTCAAGAATTTTTAAATATATTTTTGCTTTGATTTTTTTTTCCTATATTCCTTACAAAATACTAATGGATTTTAATAAATACCTATTACTTTTAAAACTTAGAGCTATGTATTCACTATTGTATCTTTCTTTTATATAACATTATATTTTTATTTGATATAACTGTTTTCTAATTTTTATACTTAATTCATTAGTAAAGATAACATATTATCAATTATATATTATTTTTTATAATAATTCATATATGCAGTTATATTAACTTTTGACAAAAACAACTTTTTTGCTATTATATAAAAATAAATTTCAATATTATATAATTCTCTAGCTACAATTGTTATTTTATAATTAAGCATCAAATTACTGATTATGTTATATAAAATTTTATATTATTCTATAATAGTTTCTTGAAAATTTGTTTTTTTTTTCGTTTATTAAGAGTTTGAGTTTTTTTTAATTATAATAAGTTATTTATTTTTCTTATACTTTTATGTTTATCAGAAAACTGGCATAATGTTATAAAATCATATTTTATTTTGAATTAAACTTGTTTAACACTTATTTTTTTAATAAAAAAGTAAATAAAATAAAAATAAAATTTTAAAATATCAAAAAAAAAGATAAATACAATATATAAATTTATATATAAAATAATATCTATAAATTAGATATTATTTTGGATAACTAATATATATACTAATATTATATAAATTAACCATAATTAATTTATCTGTATAATCAACTATATAAATTTTTATACTAGAAATAAAATTCATATATTAAGTAGATTTATATAAAAGATAAAAGTTTTATTATTAGTTTAAATTACTTAATCTATTTATTTAATTATATTAAGAATATCTATTTTATAAAAATTTGTAAAATAATTATATATTTTAAACTATTACAAAAATACTATATTTAAGTAATTTAAAATTAAAAAACTTTTTAAATTTTATGTTAATTCTTAACAAACTTGTTTATTATATCTTGAATTTATCTTATATAATTATTAAATAGAAAAAACCTTAATAAGAATATTATATATAATTTCTAATAAATATTTTAAAAGTATGATTTTTTAATTAGTTATTTTTATTAAATCTGAAAGCTATAATAATCAAATAAAATATAATTTCGGAATTTTAAGTAAACATTTTAAAATTTTAATTAACTTAAATTATCAAATATTAATTAATATACTAAATTTATTAATAAGTTTTTTAATTATTTTATATATTAATATCCATATTATCTTTTTGGAAATAACTTATATTATATTGTTATGGTGAAATACGACGAGTTTGTCACTTCTGTTCTATCTACGCCATACTACGTTGGGGAATGGTTTCTCCTCAAAAGAGACGTGAATATTTGGCTCGAGTTTAACAATGACGCAGGTTGATCTATCGATCGTGCGTCATAACTGCCAACCTCCTGCGTGGTTACTCCTTTGTTTAGTGACACTCTCAAGATAGATAGCCTTTTTAGTGCGCAGTGCCTATCCTCCTTGATT